CCTCTCAGCCATAGAGCAATTACTCCATGTATTCCTTTTCATTATATGCATAATTCTATTCAATACTAGATCCTGCCTAGTTCCCAACCTAAGCCATTTTAAGGATAATACATTCATTTCTATCCTGTGCAAAACCCTATACTCGTAATTTTCACTTGCTTCAACATTTTTGCTCTCAAAATTTAACTGGGAATAGTATTTCCTTTAATATATACAATGTCAAAGTCAAATGCCATAAGCTTAATCACCCATCTTAATATCATAGATGATGTGACCTTTGGCAACTGGCTTCTGGGGTTGAATATAAATTCCATAGGTTTATGATTAAATTTTAATAAAAATTTCCTTCCCAGCAAAAAATTTCTAACTCTTTCTGTGTTCCACAGAATTGCCAATGCCTTTCTCAATACTCAAATAATTCACCTCAACCGATGTTAGTTTTCTACATAAGTACATTACAGAATGATCCTCCTGCGACAATATTGCAGCTATAGAGTCACTGGCATCAGTAGTTAACGTCAGTTGCTGGATCAAAGTTTTTAATGACTGGTTTGCTTATAAGTGCCTTTTTTAATTCCTCAAAAGTGATCTCCTGGCTTTTTGTCCATTGAAACTTGGTATTATTCTTATTTCATTAAATAGTTTCACAAGGTCACTATACCGCTGTAGTTATCTGTTATAGAAATTGGTTAATCCTAAAAAAGATTATAACTCTGATATCTCTGATATCTTATTAATGAGTTTATCATCCAGTGAGATACTGTCTTTAGATATTTGATACCCCAGATACAAAATTTTTTCACAATTAAACTCGCATTTATCACAATTGTCATATTTACACTATTTAATTTTCTCAAAATTTGCTTCATTTTACTCATTTTTACTGCGCACACCAATGCCAATGTTGTCCTGATACACAATTATATTTTTAATCCTCTCTAAAACTTTTTCAAAGGCTTTTTGTAAAATGTGACTTGCTGTTTTTACTCCAAACAGCAGACAAGTCCATCTTAGTAATCCAATAGGGGTGTTCATTGTGGTGACTTCTTGAAACTCGCTGTCAATTTTTATCTGATTAAGGTCAACTTTAGCAAAATATTTCATACTAGGAAAATCAAGGCATGCCATTTCAATGTTTGGCAATGGGAATGAATCGAAACAGATCTGGTGATTCATGCCACATATTCTCAAATCTCCATTGGGCTTGCATATTGCCACAATGGGTGAAGCCCAATTACTACCACCCTGGTTAACTTTTTCTCATATTCCTTTTTCCATCATTTTTTTAGCAACCAGCAAAGGTAGCATGTGAACAGGAACTTTTTGGGCTTGAAAATACATGAATTGACTACTTTCTTTAAGCCGAATACTCACCTCATATCCCCTTAATTATCCAATATCTGGTTCTGCAGACTTAATGGAATTTATTAGCTTCAATGTATCCACTCTTGTCTTGTCAGTTCTTAAAAGACCATAGCTTATGGCTTTTGTGGTTTCCACCACTATGATGGGTATTATTCCAAATCTATTTTTTCTCTCAAGCATGCCTTCAAAGCAACATAAAATTTTCATGAGTGACCCAATGAATTGTTTCAGCTGGAGATTACTTTTTCTTAACCTTGGTCTACCCATTCTTTCCCCAAAATTCCTTGGTATCAACATAACATCACTTCCAGTATCCATCTGCATCAGTAAAGTTACTCCATTCAACTTCACCATTTCCCTACTTTTATCCTGTGCTTTTCTCTCAAATACTTTCATTCAAAGGATCTATATTTTCCACTTTTTTCATTTGCTTTTTATATGTGCATACCATCTGGAAATGATTCCTATGTTTACATCTAAAACACCATTTCTCAAAGGCCGGACACTTATTTTTGCTCTTTTCATGTTCTTTATTGCAATATGTGCATACAAATAAGCTTATCACTGTAAGTTTCCATGATGCCTTTGCAGGAACTAAATTTTTGAATCAATTCCAATTGTTTTAAGAAATCCACACATTTCCAGATTGATATTATTGAGCTTGAATCTGCTCTAAAATTTTATGCTTGTACGAGATGTCAGACATTCCTTCATTCAGTCTTAGCAAAATTAGCTCATCTTCAATAGACATTTATTCCAAACCCATTCTTTCAAATTCACAATATCTCAATGCTTCTGTCAATCACTGTACATATTGCATAATAGTTTGTCTAGTCTCTGTCTACTTTCAAGAAATTTAGTTCTTTCCACTATGAGCAATCTTTTTTTTGATCATACATTTGTTTTTATGATGGTAGCAATTTCTTCATACACTAAGTCTTCTAACACTGAGATAGACAATGACTGATATTTTTTTTATGGCTTCACACTCCTCTGAGACCAAAAATAAATCAGTAACTTCATTTTCTTCTCCTCTAACTTTGGTGTCCTTTAACTTTTTACTCTCACTGACACTGCAAAACACCTAAGCCAGGTTTCCACATACTCAAGATCCTCAAGTGTGGTTAAGTAACCAATTGACGATCCCATATTGTTATGATAAGTATTCTCTCAGACAGATTTAGTCTCGTCAAGAGAAGGTAACTCTCCTGTAGGTATAGCGATACTGCTCTTTATACAGTACTTAATTTACACATCACTACAGTTACCTTTCTGAATTATATAATTAAGTACTGCAAAATGAAACAGTTTGTTATAATCTCTATACAGTTTTAATTTCTCATAAATAAAAATGAAAAGATTTTGAAATAAATTCTTTAAAATATTCATAATTATTTTGCATTTTTAATAATTGTGGTAATTTTCTTATTATTTGTTATGCACTCTTCCATAATAAATTACCCTTCTGATTATTACCATCATGGATGACAAGATTACTTTTCTGCTTTCTCCTGTGAAGTCAGTGGACTTTGTTTCTTAATGAAGAGCAGCAAAGATTTCTGTCATTTGTATTGTTATATTAATTGGTGAATAAAATCCAAGAAATAAATTTGGGTTGTACTGTTTTTTGAGACCATGCTAGAATGATACAAACTTTTTAATTCTATTATATTTAATCTAAAAGCAACTAAAAGTGTTTTTGAGCTATCAGTTTCTCAGAGCATTAATTATTTTTTCAAGTCTTCTTTGTTATTTTCTACCACTTTCAAACGGCCGTGGTAATCCCAAGGGTCTATCCTGGTCAACACAGTTCCAAATCTACCACTTTGTCCCCAGCCCCTCAACCTCCAGCGTCTTCCTCTTTGGGTTGAGGTGTCCACTCGGTCTGAACCGAACTTAGGGGTAACTGGCCATACGCTCCCTGAGTACCCATAGATTATTTCTACCGGTCAACTGGCCAAGTCCTGCTTGCTGCCTATCAAAACAAATACTGTTAAACAAAACCAAATATCTTGTAGCCTGAGTAAGCTCTATTTCAATTTTTAACCGATAAATTTTATCTAGATCATTTTTTCATTGTATTTTCGAATGACCCAGATTTAAAACATCACCTCCTGCCTGAGATCGTGTTTCTCATCGGTAAACACACATCTTAACCCAAATTGTACTTCGATATATAAACACCATTTGCACTTCCAGTCAATAAAAGTTATATTTGCGTGTGTGCATTCATGTAAGTGTGTGTGTGTGTATACCTCTCTCTGTTACAATTTTCCCTTCTTCTGTTTCTTTTCTGTATCAATTTTTTCAACTCAGGATTGTTGTCCAACAAGAGTATCTTTTTCCTTCTAGACATTTTTGGAATAGTCTCATATGCTTCAATTAATGATTGAATGATAACAGTATGATAACAATCCACAATATTGTTATAATAAAGATTTAGGGACAATTTGAACTCTAATTTATTACTGAACTCCAATCTTATCCTTCCATTTTTAAGAGTTTGGATGTTATACCTAGGTGTTTTTCATGGTTTATGTGAGTGGAAGCAAGTTATTTTGTTGAATGGTGTTGTTAGTTTAGTTACAAATAGTGTGTGATTAGATTCAAAATAGGAATATTTTATGTATACTCTAACATCTGTCGCAAACAGATGAATCCAAGATACTGACATCAATAATATTTTTTGCTACACTATCTCATGTGATCTGGTATTTCATGAGATGGTTGAACCATGTTTTAAGGATCGAATATCTTTTTGATATAAGGCAAAAACAGAAAACTGTGCATTAATGAAGATTTTAATGCTACCTCACGTATTTTTAAATACCAGTACTCCTTTGATGGTAAGAAGACATTGTCCTTTGAAACAGAAACCTCAAACAGCAACAGGGAACTCTTGTTAAATTTTTATTAAAGCAAAATTAAAGTGCTTTACTTTTGTGTGTGTATGCTTCATTATTTCATAAATAATGAAGCATCATAATGAGGCCTGCCACTATTGGTGAGAAGTAAGAATTTAGTTTTTTAGAAATTAGGTAGCTAATATTTTTACATTTGTTTTATATAATATTCAATTATTTTCCAGAGTAACTTGTTCATTAGAATTCTTTAATAAATGTATGCTATTTCTCATTATTCTTATGAAATAATTATAATTTGTGCAGTTATACAATAACATCAATTTTATCTCTATTAAAATTTATTTACACATTTTAATATTTTAAAGAGCAATCTTACAAATCAGATACAACAATTTGCTTTAAAATTTTTATGAAAATATTCTTTTGTTGTCAACTAATAAAAACTCATAAAGTGCATATTAATAATGCTTGTCAGATAAATAGTTATGAATCTTCATTTTTATAAAAGAAAAGCTGTGATTTCAAAGCAATGCATAGGACCCAATCAATTTTGCATCAATAAAATTAGCAATACCTAAGGTCATAAATAGTGATCCTTATTACATAAATATTGTTATAATAAAAATTCTTGCTGGCATAAAACTATTTCCAACTTCATTAATTTTCATAAAATTATTTTCTATGAACAAATTTTCTAGCTATTAAGCTATAATATATGTTTTAAAGTTATACTATTTTTCAATATTGTAAAATTAATTTCTTCATTTATAGCATCTGCTGAAGAAGAAGAAGGAGAGATAGAAAACTGCATAATGAATAAAACCCAGTACTACTGGCCCAGAAGCTTCAATTTTGTTCAAGGAAATGTTCCTTGCGAGAACTGTACCCGGTAGAACATATTTTGATTTCTTTTTTATTTTCATTGTTTGTTTTTTTTACAAATTTCTTTCTGGCTTTTCTTTAAAAGCATTTTCAAAAATACCTTTTTTGTAAATAATTTCTTTATGCTTGCTATTAAATAAAACATTAATAAATATTTATACAAAATGACTTAAGTCTAGGGCTGTGAAATTCTGTAGGTTTCTATCAACAATTGAGATAGAATGAGAAGATATGTAAGTCACAAGGTGTTAATGCAGTCAAATTAACACAAATATTAATATAACTAATATAGTAACAAAAATATAAGATTTCACATGCAATATAACTTGTTTTTTTTCTTACAAAATCAATGCATATTTGAAGATATGTTTTTTGAAGGAGTTGGTACATTTTGTTCTTTTATTTTTCAAATTTATTAGAAAAACTTAAAAATATTTACTTTGTTTCTTCAGGGAATTTTTGGTTGTACGCTTGATATATAGTAACTTAATCCTGGTTGTCGCTGAACCTGAATGTTCTGTCTGTTCATATCCTAAAATCATTCAAGAGCCTGTAGAAGGTAAATATACAAATTTATGTACAAAATAAAATGTTAAAATAATCAAATGAATATATGATTTTCTCAATCTAGTGTGCCCATTGTAATCTAAGAATCTGACTGCATCTGTCCAGCAACTACAACCTTCAATCTCCTTTTTAATTCCATCTTTCTACTGTCTAGTCTCTATGGTGGTTTTATGGGCTATGTTGGAGTGTGGCCCAGCAGTTCTACCTGAATCTGACACATCAGGGGTGAGTGGAGTTTGTGCAACAGGCACTGGTGTAGGGTACTAAGGTGATAATGGGTGGCTTGTAAACTTAGGGCAGATGGGATTTAAATGCGTCCGATTCATAGTGGGTGGTGTGTTGGCATGGACTGCCATTGGACAGTCATCTCTGCTACCATCTCAGGGTTTCTCTTTCAGGCTTTGGAAATTTGCTATTCTTTCAATGGTGGAATGCAATGGTGGATACTGCCAACTAGTTGTTCATGCCAGTTCTTTGTTTTGTCTTTACACCATTGTATCATGTCTCAAGTTTGTTCATCACCGAGTTGTTGCTTAGAGATAAGTGGTGTCCAAAAAGGCGTCCCATTGTGTAATTCAGCTGGAAACTTGAGGTTGGTTGAAAGTGGTGTAGCTCTGTATGAAATCATCACCAAGTGATAGTGCCAGATCCTGGGGCCTTCAAAAGTAGTTTCTTGCATGCACCAATCATCCTCTCTCTTAAGCCATTAGACCAAGGATAATACGATGATGGTGTATGCTTGAAACTGAACTTGTCTGCAAAACTGGCAAATTCCTTATTTATATATTGAGACCTACTGTCACTGAAGACCCCTTTGGATATGCTCCTCAAATATCATGTGCCTAATTACTGAAACAGATGTGGTAGAATGATGGCATGAAGAGGTCTGTGATGATATCTTGCCATGGGTGAGAAAGAGTTTCATGCTGGAGCAATGCTTCTGGTAGAGTACTTCTTTGGCATTTCTGACAAATGAGACATTTTGTAATCACGTACTCAATGTCTCTGTTCGTTTCTACCCAGAAAATGAGAGTTCTAACTCATAGATGGGTTTTCTCTACTTCCTAGTGTGTTACATGTAGTTACAGCAGAATGTCAGGTTGAGCTGCAATGGATATGATTTTGCTGCTTTGAATAGAACAGTCTTGGATAGCAATTTCATCCCTGAAATTCTAGTATAGAAGTAGACAACTTGGACAACTGGAGCCATCAGATGGTCATCCAGTCATCACTGTGTTTATCAGTGTTCTCAGGGTAGGATTCTTCATAGGCTTCACTTTGATGTTTTGTATGCATAACTTCAGTCTGTCTACCTGGTTTTGATGACACTCTGGACAAGCACTCAACTATTTCCCTGAAATGTGAAATTATAGCCCTGAATCTTTACCAGCATTCTTGCTGGCCTTGGTGGTGCTTGTGCCTGGTTATTAAGAGCAATTGACCCCAGTGGCTTGTGGTCAGTATGAATTGTCACTGTAGCCTCATACAAAATGATAGAATATCTCCAGACCAAAAACAAGTATTATCCAGTCCTACAAATGTTTTTCTGGCAAAAGCCACTGGCATATCATTCTGCAGGAGAGCTGCCCCAATTCCAGTAGTCAGAACATCAAGTTGTGTGATGATTGGCATCTATCTCAGTGCAACTGTTTTCCTAATTTCTTCTTTGATAGTGTCAAATACTGCTTGTTGCTAGGATGATCAAATGAATTCAGTTAGATAACAGATCACAAGGATGGGGTGAAAACTTTGAGGTAGTTAACTAGTCTAAGAAAGCTGGATAGCTGTTTTTCATCTTTTTCATGAAGTTGCATTTGAGTGATTGATTCAACTTTTTGGTATCTGCTTTTAAATCATCCCTTCAACTGAAGAAGGGTATCTCTGATCTGCATACCACTAGCTTTTTAGGATTGAATTTGGTTTCTTTCCCTAGCCCTTTAAACAAACTTCTTGAGCACTTGGTCATGGTTGCTATCATCTTATTTAAAACCATAGATAATTGTCATTAGTAATGGATTCTTGATGTCTCCAAAGTTTTCAAACATGGCTTGCTGGAATTCATCTTGGGCACTCTTAACTCACATTGGAAATCTTCCAAATGGAGTTATGAATGTTGTCAACTCACTTGATATTTTATGTTCAGCTTCATTTGCAGTAGCCAGTCTTTACATCCACTATTAACCATTTTGCTCTGTGTAGTCTTTGGAGACAACATCCTTGAATGTGGGGGTTACAAAGGGAAGTTGCAGTATAGTCTTTGGGGTCTAGGCATAGCTTGACTCATTGGTTTTTGTGACACACACAAATGAATTGATACCCATGAGGTTGTTCTGGTTAATGGGGATTAGTATGCCCTGATCCACAAGTGAATCAAATATAATCTTTAGTTTGTCCCTTAGGACTATAAAGACTTGCCAGGACTTGCCAGACTTGCATGACCAGGAGTATTGTTGGGTTCACAGTTATTATGTACTCTCCTGGATAACATTTGAATGTTATCCAGGAGAGTACATAATAACTGTGAACAATTGCAATTAAAAACATCAAAAAATTGGTGGAGAATATACTCTTGTGTTTTGAGGTCTTCTTTTAGGATTGTTCTTGGCATTGGGATAGTTTTATCTTTTGTGCATTTCCATGGTTCTGCATTAGGTGAAAGGTTTGTAACTCTAGTAGAATCAGTCTCTCAAATTTAACAATATGGAATATTGTGCTTGTGAAAAAATTGTGATGTTTCACTCCCAGGAGGCCTGCTCCTGCTTGCTCTATAATAGAGCCTTTAAATGCAAACAGCCACACTGGTGTTTCTTTGAATGGTACATTCTTAAATTTTTTAACCACACTCAGGGGTAGCATGTTGCTCATAGCTCCAGTGTTAATCTTAGCATTGATTTCTATTTGGACTGTTTTGTTGCCTATTTTTATTTTTTTCATTAAAAATGTTCTCATTTCAACTACTACTGTCTTCTTTTCACTGTTAAGCCACTGTGAAGAATATATATTTAATGACTATCATATAAAAAAAAAATCATATTTTTTTTTTATTTTGTTCTTTTCTCCAGTGGAGCCCAATTTTTGTAATGCTCAGCCTCGGTACAGAAAATCTCCAGGTGAATGCTATAAATATGATTCAAGGGTAAGTTTTATTATTCCGTTATTATTTGCAGTGGAAATCTAAAAACATGATATATGTTTTATTAAAAGGTACATATATACTACGGTATATATTTATATTAGTAAATAAATATAAGATACCACATAAATTTACCTATAACTTTTTATAGAACACTTGAAAATTGGTGATACTTTCACTAATGAAATAAAATGATAATTTCTGAAAAATAGTCATTTTTAATGAAAGCTAGAAATATATATTTTTGAGAGTGTAAATAAAAATATAAAAACTCTTGCAAAAATATTAAATATTTATGTCACAAACTAGTTTTATGGCTGTGTGATGAAAGAGAGTGTAGAATAATTTGCATTAAGACATTCAACCCTAAGGAAAAAATAAAAGCATATTTTTAAAATATCAGTTCTGCTTCACAAAGTTGATAAATAAAAAAAAAAGAAACATATCAATAATTGGAATTACTTGAATGTGATTGGAATAATAAATATAATAATAATTAGGTATCTTGGAGAGATGGAATGAGGAAGTGCAAATTCTAGAAAGCTAAGTGTAATGGTTGCTGATACAGTTCACCAGCCTTATCCTGCTTTTACCTGAGAGTTGGCCAGCCAAGTTTACTCTTAACTGGATACCACAGAGCTGCAAAAGACCAAGGGGTCATCCTAAAATAACATGACACACTACAGTCAAAGAACTGAGAAAAAGAAACACCAACTGGTTCCAGGCTCAGCGACTTGCCCAAGATTGATTAAATTGGAGAAAAATCGTGGCCCTTTGTTGTGCAGTGACTGGGAGGATCTCTAGCAACTTTATTCCTACTTTAGTAGGATTAAAGTTATTAGGTCACTCACTTTCAAGTGTATGAGTGAAAAGCTGTTTCTAACAAACTATTCTTATCTCAATGGTAAAAAAATATCAGCACACTTAAAATGTTGCTTCAATCTTTAACCAAATTCTTTCTAGAATTTTTTTTTTTTTTTGTAGAAAAAAAGCGATCCTTATTAATTTCATTTTTTCCATTTTTTTATTTTTATTTTTATTTTTTTTGCAGGAAGATGGTAGAAAATGCAGCAGTACATCTCATCTGCCTTCCTACATAGTTCTTTTAGGATCACATCTTTTGCTTGCTTTGTGTATTCTTCATCTGACTCAGAGCTGATAACAGCTATAAAGTCTGTCAGCTTTTGTAATAATTGTATGCTTCACCAACATTGTTATTTTTGTTCTCCTCCTCCTCTTCTGTCTGGTAAGAGGTAAACTTCTGCTATAGCCAGTTGTATACTATCATCATCAAAGTACTGTTTTTCATTTTTTTTCTTTATCTGTTAATTATAATGAATTGAATAATCACGAACAGCACAAATATGTGAATAGCTGATTTTTTTTAAAAGATTTTTTTTATTGAAACTTAAAAAATGAATCATACTTTTCTTGTTTTCCATTCATCTATTTATTTTATTATCCCTGTCCAAAAATGTAAATTTGAGTAAATGACAATTTTTGCCTCCCCCACATCCCCAGATTTCATTCTTCTATATTTTATGATTGGCATTGCACTGTCAGTCAATTCTGTTTTTTTTGTAGAATCTTTTTGCCTTTTCATAATCACATTACAGTTTGACATATTCTTTGATTTAAAGAAAAAAAAAGAATTCACCTGATTGACTTGAATATCCAGTTAAATGAATGAAACAGATTCAACAAATGCAAATTTCAGTTGCTAATGACCAGCCTTCATTAAATGTAAAAAATTGTATTTTTAAGGGGTTTTTTTTAACATTTTTTAAGACTTTCAATGAATTGTTGATGAAATAATGCTTTCTGATGAAGTATTTTGTATGCCTTTTTCATGTGAAGGAGTTGTTTGTAAACGTCAACTTTATAGAAATTCACATTGTGTATGCTTTCCATTTAATTCATCTAGCTCTTGTAAGCAATGTGGATATTTAAGTAAGCATTTTAAAGAAACATTGGATAACTGTGTATTTATGAATTTGCTTGGTAAAAAAAAATCTTCAAAAATAACAATTTAAATGAAAGGGGTGCATGAAAATAAAGGTAGAGTTTATGAATGAGAAATTGATTAATTCATTCCTCCCTATTTTCCACTTTTCTTTTGAAATTAGATGTGTGCATGTTTGTCATTACTCTTCTATTTTAAACTTCTCATAGAACTGTTATGAATATTTACTGCACTGCAGTCCACTGAAAATCATGGTTTCAAATTAATGTATGTGGAGAATGTGTCTAGTATCTCTAGTAACCGTCCATTATATGAATGCAGTTGACTGACTTAAACGAAGCATTGCTTTGTAGATGAAAGCCCAACTTTAACTTGTTACCCTAACATTTTATAAATGTCATTTATCATTCAAAATTATTTGACAAGCAATTCATCCAAACAGGAATTACTGATGTTTCATTAGAAAGAAGGAAAGTAAGCTCAGAAGATTTACTGATATTTATAGTTTATTTTATATTAGAATAAGAAACAATTTGTAAGATATCAAATTCTGCTACAAGCAAATATCACATTTTGTCCATTTGTTCTTGATAATTTTTCTATTTCCAAAGACTGAATAATTAGTTGGATAAGATAATGACACTATGAAAATAACAAATTACTTTTATCTTTTCTGTGTGTGTGTGTGTTTTAATTGACAGATTTTATACTAAGTATTATTCAAGTGCATGTATATTTGTGTGTAGGGAAAAATTAATGCAATTTGGGCTCTTTGTTAATTTGATTTTTATTTGTTCTTACCATATAAAATATAGAGCTTTGTTTGCTGCTTATTTGAATCTCTTTCCCTACATTTCCTTATATTATTGACCTGTGTGTTAAATTTATTTTCATTACTGACCATATTTCAATTCAGTCCAATCTTTTCAGCTGTATGGTAATTTTAATATGATACAAGTCATTTTAAAGAGAATCATATTGAATATTTACATTGCAAAAATATTGAGATTATGAATATAATAAACAGTGAAAATGTAAACTACACACACACACACACACATATATGTATGTGTTTCTGTTATTTTATTTAAACAGTTTGATTTTCCAATGATAGTTTTAAAATATGAAACAGCTTAATGTTGCCAAACAATATGCATCTACCTCTGAGAAATGTTATTATTAGTCTCTCCTCATTAGAATATTCAGTGAATTTGTTAAAATGAACAAACTTAGTACACTGAAAACCTTTTATTTTAAATGTTTCCAATATTATTTTTTCAAATTTGGAAAAATAATATTGATGATTGTTGCAACACTTAAAAATATGCCAGATATTTATATTAGTATTTAAAATCTTACAATTACTTTTTATTGCAAACAATAGAGAATTTAAAGTTATTTATCCATATATTTATATTTATTTGATTTCATGTTGCTTAATCATGCTCATAAAAAACTATAATTACATTTCCAACATTGATTTTTTTTGTTAACAAGTGATGAACTTTATCTTAATTTTATTAGAACCTTACTTACAGATTATTGTTTATGCTTAAACAATAATTTCATCATAAGTATTTTGGCTTTAATAAATGTATTACTTTCTGAGAATTTCAGTTGTGTATAGTTGCACAAAATCTTTATCTAAATCATAAAAAACAATAGGCTCTTTTTATAGTTACTATGTTCCTTCCATCTAGTTAGTCTGGTATATTGTAGCATATTACAGTTATTTCCACTATTTGTACTGTACATTTAATATGTAATGGAACTTATTTATAAAAACTCGCTAAAAATTTTACAGGATTTATACCCATAATTTTACTTATTAAAATACTGAAAAATTCAGATACAACTTTGATGCATAATGGAAATGTTAGAATACAATCAGGTAAAGTAACTGAATGAAAAATAACTATTGTTTTCATATACACGTATTTATTTTTGTAAAGAAAATATTACTTTATTTGCTTTCAATTGTGATATTTAGTGATACAAAAACATTCTAATAGTATTGAGAATAAAGATTTTTTCAGCTATTGCATTAAACTATTGAATTTTGAGCACATTACAAAGACTGAATTGTGCTGTCTTTTTTTTTACCTAACATTTGTCTGTCCAACTTTTTGCTTGTCAAAACATTAACTAATTTTATATACTTTACAATTTTTAGGGAACACTTTAAACATTATAGTATGAATCTAAACATTAATGTTGCTTTTTTTAATAGTATACATGAAAGCACATTTCAGCTCTTCAATTTCTATCAAATTATAATTAAATATTAATACTACCAATTTTTTTTCAAGTGAAAGGCAAATGCAAAATTTTTAACTGATGTATTTATGCATAAAATAGTTTACTTGGTCTGATTTGTGTTGCATTTGACAAAGTACAATCTATATACATCAAAAATTCAAAAAGAATTAATGTATTTATTTCAGTTGCTCTACTTTTAGTTTAATTTTCATTTTGAAATATAATCAGCTACCAAAATGTGTATACAGTACAAAATCCAAAGTGGATTTGTATTTTTCTGTTTTTTTTTTTTTTAAATTTTTCTTCTGTTATTTGGCAACTACAGTCTATTTTAACTGGTTGTGTCATCATCCTGTTATTGTTATTCAATTTTCTGATTGTGTGTATGTGCAAATATAGAAGATGCATAGATGATGAATGAAAGTTTTGAAAATGTTGTGGCCATCATCTGTGCCAGCAACATCTACACCAACCATTCTCCAGTCACTCCAGTGCTTTATAAGTCATTACACATGTTTCAAAACAGAATTCAATAGCCACAGCAGCTGGAGCCCTGGAAAAATTCAACATTTATTTTTTCATGACATAGATTTATTCCTCCTAGTATGCAGTGTTGTTGCTACTCTTGTGTGAATCCACACAAGACCTACTATTTATACATTTTTTTCTGTAATAAGAATAATGACCATAATATTATTGCTACTACTACTACTCACAAGTAGTGTCAGTCAGCATGAGTGGTAGGACAACATGGCAACTCAGATCTATCTATTCAATTACTACATATATTTCAGTTACAAAAATTAATTTGATAAACAATCAACTAAATTCTAAAGTTTTTTCTTGCCTGTGACATTAAATTAATAAATTCAAGTAGAAAGGAATTGATTAAATCAGATTTCTTTACTGTTTTTGCTTTAGAATTTAGTATAATTCTGTTTGAAAGGAGATCATATAAAATGTCTCTGGCAATGTTTATTTTACTTTATTTACTGCAACAAATTTCCACAGTTAAACATTATTTAAATACGATTGCTATTTTCCCATATAAAAATATTAAAATAATCTTTTAGTGTTACTTAAATTATAGTAAAGTGTTTTTTCTTGTTATATTACATCATTTTATTAATGTTTGTTTGGATAAATATAAAAATTTGCCTTTAAATTGAAATGGTTTGAGTTACAATTTTTTTTTTAAATCTCCTATATGTAACAATTTTTGTTGAAAAAATGCAGTCTTCTTTGTACATTATATTTGACTTTTTGAATAGGCTGAGCTACCATGAACTTATATCAACATGGGTACCTATATCAGCTAATACTCAATGATATAGTAATCCTGTTGTTGCTCCTTGGTGTATACTGCTGTGTAGACATTCAGGCACCAGATATACAGTCCACATCATTCATGTTTAATGTTAACCAGTGAAATTTGTCATTTGTAAAGGATTTTATATTGGCTTTAACAACAAAACAATACAAGTGACAAATTTTTCATTGGTTGTTTTGAGCTTTTTTTTTTCCTTCCCCACCCCTAATTGAACCTGTACTGCTAAAAGTAACATTCATTTGACAAGATTTAAGCATTCTACCACTACTAAATCTTCACTTATATGATCAGTAGTGTGGAAAGAAATGGAATGAAAATATTAAGAGTTTTATATGGTTTCATAGCATATCATTTTGTGTTTCATTTTATTCTTTTATTTATTAATTTTTAAAGCAAATGCACAAAAGATGTTATACTGTGTTTCTATTTAAAACTAAATTGGTTTGTTTTCATATAGTTTGTTACCAACATAAAGATAATTTGATTGAAGCCTTGGAGTTCAGTTCTCTCAAAGCTGGAATTTTTTGTGCTGAATGTTGCTAATTGGGAATTTTCCAAAGCAAAAATAATTTTATTCACATTTGGGAGCCTTCTTCAATATTTATTG